ATAACTCCTTATGATCGCTTACTATGCATAGATTCCCAAGTCAACTAAAACTCATCCAAGCCCTATCCCTTGTAAGGGAATATGAGTCCTATCAGCATGTCCATCTATACTCATGTATTTGAGTTATACCCAAGAGTAAATTGTTCTCTCTATTTTCAAGCAGATAGAGTTGTACAGTCAAAGCATAACCCTAAGACATATTATTGGATGACATCCTCAAGTCTAGGATGATCTGCACTACCAAACAATGAGAGACATTACAAATCCAATAATACTCTCTATAATAAATCCTTGTGGAGTCTCTTGGCGGGTTAGTTCAGTGCGTCTATTCTCTAACAGATCCATGCACGACATCAGTCAAGGCATCACCATACCTGCATTCCCCGATGTCCCTACCTGTATTTCCTTACAAGTAGATGATGTCGTATTAGTCTTATCGAGATCACCAATGCACTATCTTGGTGATTCAAGACTAGGAACTAGTTTCAGGTGATAGACATGTAGTGCCCTCGAGCGTCATGATCACGATCCTTATCATACATCCTCGAGTGAACACCCGTTCTATCCCTAGGGCCTTTATCTTAAAATATATACGAGACATAAATACGATAAAGATAAAGCATGCTCAAAAAAATTAATCATGAACTATCAAATAGTCAAATATGTTCATCTGATAAATTAGATTGTCTCTTAGATACCTACATACTAACATCTGTTAGTATTAGTAGGTATCATAAAGACAATCCGAGAGTTAGATGACACTGATTATATAACTAAGAATTTATGATTATTATTACAAGCATGCTTTATCATTTTCATATTACATATCTCTTCTATAGTATGCATAATGGATAAAGTCCCTTGGGATAGTATGGGTGTGCTTTAAGGATCTATGATGAGATCATGATCATGAGAACTCAAGCTCACTACATGGCTATGCCCTAAAATCGTTCCTAGTCTAGAGTCACCAATGAAGGTCGTTGGTCGTCTCGATTAGACTAGTACGATAATAGTTTACTTATATGGAGATGTAAGGTATATAATCATGAGTGCAAGCATGGAAATGCCTTAACCTATGTCATAGGAGGATTCATAGTGGATCGAGTCACACTGAACTGACACAAGGAAACTTATAATAGTATCACTAGATCAATAATGCCTATTTTCATTTAGTTGTGCAGATCATCCTCATACTCGAGGTTGTTATTGTGTATTTTGTTCGAAGGTCATATTTTGGGGTACAAATCTATCCGCTTGAAAGATAGGGAGAACAATGTACTTATGGGTATGATTGGAAGGCATGAGTGTAGATGAGCAGGCCAAAAGAATTCATAATCCTCTACAAAGGATCAATTATTCATAAGATTGGTGAGGCTTGGATGACATCCATGCAACTCGAGAAACTGTGCACAATAAGAGATCATGGATTTTTCTTAAAGTTTATCGTAGAAGATTCCATGTCCCAACAAAGCTACTCTTAGTCAATAAAGAGTTTATACTACTTCCTTGCTCTTGACCTTAGAGGTGGATGAACGAGATAAAAGCATGGATCCCACGATAACTAAATCAGTAAAGACAAATCTCACGATCAAACTCAATTAGTTCTAGGGCCACAAAGCATTGCTAGTGCTCTGTGTAGTCATTGGATGGATTATGCTTCATAAAGAAGTTTATGAAGGCCCCAATGTTATACATGTCAATGAATAATTGGTCTTAATGGGTCTCACACCAATATCACCTTGTTGGCAGTACCTAGCATACATTTTGGTTTTATGAGATAAGATTGAGAAAGAGAGCTTTCCATTTCGGGCCTTGGGCCCAGCCCATTGACCTAGTGGGTTGGCTCATAGGCCATGTCATGGGCCCATTGGACCGGCCTATGGTCAGGCCCATGGACCTTATGGGTCGCACATGTGAGCCAGTGAGCTAGGCTTGTGCTTGCATCATCACATGTGACTTAGATATAATCTAAGTGTGCTAAGTGTGAAAGAGAGCCTTTGGGCCTAAGTGATGAGTCGCTTGGGCTATAGGCTAGCGAATAGTGATTCACTAGGAGTAAGGAAGTGGGTCAATGGTTAAGGAACCTTCATGCCCACTTAGCCTTGGGCGCACCACATTATGAAGAGTAAGTGGGCTCACTTGGGCTAAAGGGCCAAGTGGATAGTGGTCCACTTAAGCCAAGAAAGAGGGGCGCAACTAGGGATTATATAATTCCTAGCCTAGCGCCTCTTGCTCTTATATGAGAAGAAGTCACACAAAAAGTGCCACCTCCTTTGCTGAAATCTCTCTTTCCCTTTGTGTGCCCCTCTTTCCATCAAAATCTGACCTTGTGCCACCACCTAGCAAACAATCAAGGATTTAGGAAACTAAAGAGAAGAAGTTCTTTCCTGTCGTTGGAGGAGATAAAGTGGAGCACCGTCAGAAGGACTTAGGCAACTCAATCTTTTTTGTGTGAGATCAAGACACGATCAAGAACGGTAAAGAGTTTACTAGGAAAACATAATTAGACTAAAATCGTCAAATGTATGATTTCAATCTTCCCTAAATTCAATCTACATTGAAGTCGATCTTGTATGATGTACATATGATTTCCGCTGCATGTTTTTGTTTTTATTTATATCACCTAAGGCACCTTTAATCGTTAAAGGCTACCCTTTTATCTAAACATGAACTTTCAGATTGGAGACACCGGAGCAGGTATTTGCAAGGCACTCTGATGCTCAAGTCAATATATATTTTATATGGTCAAGTACGAATGGATATATGATCATACATGGGCTTAGTGCCTTTGTTTATATAATAGTTGAGCATTGTGGTTATGTCGCCTTAATGTGGTGGTGTTCATTCTTATTGGTGGGCATGAATGGTCTTTGTTGGCATTTCTCTGTGTTGGATGCCTAATGTCAGGCTAGTGCAACCATAAGCATGTGTCTATTCTTTGGCCATTGGCTATTAAAAAGGTAGTAAAGTTCTGAGTAACTGATGTCATGTGGTTGCAATTGGCTGAGCAGCTGATGTTGTGTGTCAGAGTATTTGTGGGATTGACAAGGTGCGCGGGATGGCCGTGTTTCCTTATCTTGGAAGTAATATTTGTTGGCCTCCTGGGTCATTTACTGGTTATGCCTATAATCTCGCGTGGGATAGATCCAAATCACTACTTTATTTAGAAAATATTTCAAGAATGAAGTGCTAATTGTATAAATATATGTTGATGAGGTATTGTCTTTTAATGTACTAATTAGAGCCTGTTTGACAATTGTATTTTTTTTTTAAAGCTAAAAGCTACTTTTAATCTAAAGTTAAAAAAAAAAAAAAAAAAAGCTTAAAAAAATAAGCTAAACGCTGCTCGGTAATTATATAAAGTTGTTCTAATAGTTTTGAAGGAGTAAAGATGAAACAATTTGTTATTAAGATGGATTATTAAGGTAAAAGATAAAATTTATAATACAAATTTAGAATAAGGGTAAAATTATAAAATAAATATGAGGATTCCAAAAAATTAACATACATCTTAAAAACTTTTAGCTTTTTCTTCATTATATATAAAAAAGTTCTTTTCATAATAATGAATTACAAAATTATGTTTGGTTAAACTTCGACTTTAAGGGGTAGAGAAGCTAAAAATAACATAAGAAGCTACAAAATTACACGTCATCAGTTGCTTTGTGGTGATTATTCTATTCTCATGAAAAGTGAGTTTAAGATAAATATAACAGGCGAATTAAAATTTTCCCTCTAATTAAGCTGATACAACACTTGTGTATACAACTATGGTAATTGACAAAGACGAGTAATATAAGGCAATAAATAAGAACTCTGTGTATTATAGGATCCTTTCTCTACTTGTTAGTAGATCTGGTGATGTTTTTCGTGTTGGATCATGTACACATTTCCAAGAAAATCCCAAAGAGTATCATCTGAAGTCTGTGAAGAAAACTTTATATTTACTTGGTATATAACACGTTAGTTTATGGTAAAAGAAAGATTCGGTAGAATTTTGTGATGCATATTATGCTAAATATATAGTGTAAAGAAAAAGCAAACTGGACGCTACAAATTTTTAAGAAAGCCTTGGTGTCATCTAAGGACTTGGTTTAGGGAAATAAATTTTTTTTCTTACTATTTTCTGATTTTACTAATAATTGTAAGAATATTATTTCACTTTATTTTCTTTTTTCAAATACTTATCATGAAAACAACAAAATGTCATCTTCATGATTTCATATAAAAATATTTAAAAAAACAAACTATAAAAAAAGATTGGTATTTTTATAATGGAGAGGGATCTTTTGACTCTAGAGTAAGACTTTTAAGTCTTACTCCTCATCTTAACCGTTGATTTCCGTCCATACAACGGTTATAATTTATTGAGTTATATCAATTAATTAACTATTAATTTCAAATAAATAACAATCGTTTGATTGGCGGAAATCAACGGCTGAGATAAGGAGTAAGACTTAGAAGTCTTACTCTGGAGTCAAAATATCTCTCCCTTTTATAATTAGTAGTCTAACAAAAATAAAAATAGAAAACATTTCCTTAAACCAAACAAACCTCTATCGTACCATCAACAACTAAAGCCAAGTTCATGTCAGCAACAAGCTAAGGTCTATTCATTAAGTTATGATCAAATTCCAATTTCTTTGAAGGATGGTATAAGCACAATAGTTAAAATCGAGATTTTACCTAAAATTGAAAAGAGGATAAAAAATCATAAAACGTAAAATCCTAACGTAAAAAAAATCATAAAAAATCGTAAAAACGTAAAAGCTTTTGGAATTTTGATGAAATTATTTTGATTAAAAAAAATCGTAAAATAGCAGATTTAAATCGGAATTTTAACTGGCGTGATGGTAAGCCTTCATGGCTGATGCTACTTCAAACCCGCTTTAGTATCCATTATATACTGGATTCTCTTTCATGTATTAGTAAAGTCTCAATCTTTTGGGAGAAGAAAAATGCTTCAGCAACAATGGAAGGAAAAGAAAGGAAGAAACAAGGACAATCCAATCGAGAATTTGCATTCATTGATCTCTTGACAAAAAAGCTCTACCAACAAGGATGGAATTTTGAACGAGATTATGATATGCCTATTGAACTTGATAACTTATTTAGATCGGAGAAACATAAGGCATTAAGTAAATTCAGCATAAAGCAATCAAAAGTTGAAGCAAAATACACACTCACGTATCACTCATCATTTGATGAACTTAAAGGAGGTTCCCCTTCTTTGGCAGGTTCAATATATGTTTCAGATTCATCAGTGACTGGATCCGTTGCAGAAACTGAAGTACTTGAAGTAGCTGAATCTGTGACTTTACTCTGAACAGCAGGCTTGGAAATGACTCCTTGTGCCTCTATAGCTTCGCGTGCTGCTTTTTCCTTTTCTTTTTTGACTCTTTCCAACACTTCTTCCTGCATAAGCATTTATTTTTCCAACTGGTAAAAGACAGCTATCCATATCAAAAATGACCAGGAAAAGGGTAGAAGATTGAAAGTGGGACACAAAAACATTGATTAACTTCAAATTATAAATTTTATAAATGTGCTTAACTTCAGGTTATTTTCTAAGACCAATGCATAATTCCAATGGATCAAAATAAATATTCATTCTTGTAAAGAACCAATTCAACCCAAAAGCTTAAATTGTTATCTCTAACATGCTACTTCACACGAGAGCTCATTGAGCTTAAAAGGTGAACAATGCACAGGTCCACCTAACTGTACTAAGAGGTCCACCTAGCTGTGCTAAGAAACTCCACAAGACTGAATTAATTATTAATTAAATGAGGACAGTGAAGATCGAACCTGTGACATCGAGACTTTAATATTATGTAAAGAACCAATTCAACTCAAAAACTTAAACTATTGAGTGAGGCTACATTAATGATTTTATATATCTCTAAATTCCCAACTTAAAACAGGCAACTGCCATACATAAGCTATAGCACAAACATTTAACTGTTATTGGTCAGCAATCAAAACTTCCGAAGTTATGTTTTGAAACAATCCACATTGATTCGCCGCAAAAATCTACTCCAATCCATATCAATAATTTGCTTTCAGACAATATGATGAAGCCCCTTACACTCTAGAAAACCTTTTGAATAATTTCCGACCTCCAACATTTCATTGTTTTAAAACTTGCATTGCAATCAATCGTTACTTTTGACTAGAATAAACAGTTAGACACCAAACAGGGAAATAAAGTTAACTTGGCAATTGAAGATAGAAGAAGAACAACCTTTCTTTTTTTTATGTTTTCAAGTTGTTCTGTCTTCTTTTGTTAACTTTTAAAATTTAGGGAATATAGCTTCATTGCACATTTTCTTATCAGAATATTACATAATAATAATTCTAAATCTCAATATTATATTTGCTTCTCAATGGGTTCCCAATTTTTAACTCAGTTTGTCGTGTTCTTAATTTCCTCAACTTCAATTAACAGTAAACAAAGGACAAGTTCTGCAACCCTTCCTATAGTAAAACAGAAATTGTTCCAAAAAATATATATATATACATATGACAGGTTAGACCTCACTAAGGAGCACTCTCCTTGACTTACTTCCTTTAAATAAAACAGTAACTGACCTTTTTCCAACTAAGGAGTAACTTATCCTCTTAGTACAATACAGTAACTGTCCTAAACTACCCATACATCATAAACTGCCTACAACTAACATAACACATTATTTAAATATAGTAACTACACTTTATTCCTTCTAGTATAAACTTTGAAAGATTTAGGGCTACCGATTTCCTTGTGCATATCAATACCTCCCGGTTGAAAAAGCAACTTTGTCCCCAAGGTTGAAATCAAAAAATTGGTGCTGAATAGTGAGTGAGAGCAACTTCCCAAAAAGCTTCCTCCAGAGGATGATGTAGCCGTTGAATCAAGACTTGTTTAATAGGAACACCTTGCTGTCCAATTGTGCAATAAGCCAAAATGTTTTCCGGAATAAAAACTAGATTAGTACATTGAAAATCCTCTCATAAATTCCCCTCAACGGGATGATTGCTAATAGCCTTCTCAGAAATACATGGAACATAGAATGAATACGAGCATGTGAAAGAAGTTGTAATTGAAAAGCCTCGGCTCCAATTGCTTGCGTACTAGAAACGGACCATAATATCGAGCAACTAATTTTAGAGGCAAATAGCCTTGTGCAGTTACACTTCTATGAGGCCTGATTTTCAAATATACCCAATCACCAACCTGAATGGTAGAAGGAAGACGATGTAAATTTGCTTGTTTAACCATTCGGGTTTGATCTTTCTCAATATGATACTTTAGTTGCCTTAAAGCTTCTTCTTGATTGACTAAATTTCTTGCTACAGTTTCAATCAAAGTTTCCCTTGGCATATAATTGATTAACAAAGGAGAAGGTCGACCATAAACAACTTCAGAAGGTGTAGACTGCGCAGAAATATAAAAACTAGTATTATATCAATATTCTGCCCAAGGTAAATAATCTCCCTAAACCCTGGGTTGTTCAGCACAAAAAATCTTAAATAAGTATCTAATGTCCTATTCAAAACCTCAATTCGGCCATCAATTTGTGGATGGTAAGTAGTATTGAATTTGAGTGAAGTCCCTTGCAATCAAAATAATTCCTTGGAGAAACTACTAATGAAAGTACGATCACTATCACTTACAATGGAAATAGGAACACCATGAAGACGAATAATCTCTTCGGTGAAAATTTCTGCAATACTTTTGGCAAAATAGGGATGTCTGATCAAAATGAAATGAACATATTTACTCAACCTATCCACCACTAATAAAATGGTATCAAAACCTTTATATTTAGGCAACTAAGTAATGAAATTTAAGCTAATTTCCTCCCAAATGGCATTACGGATAGGAAGTGGTTGAAGAAGACCCGCAGGAGAAGTTGCCAAATATTTATTATGTTGACAAACTCGACATTCAACAACAAATTTGGTGATTGTACCAATATTGGAATACAAACTGAAGAAGCAGAAAGGTGATACAGATATAAATGAGGGTAATAATATAGAAAGACTTGGAGTGTGGAAAGTATATCAAAGGAGATCTAGGAGTTAGTTCAGTTTACGGTTTTGATAATTTTTGTATAAATTGGGAGATGTTCCCTGACTTAGGCATCATTTAATAATTCCTTAGAGTGACTGAGAGAGCTCAGTGGAAAGGGGATTTTCCCTTGTGAAGAGAACGAGTCTCTTGTAACCTATTTCCCTTGCAATAGTTGTTCTTTTATTTTGCCAAATCATATCATTTGAGCACAAAGCTCTGTATCAAAAGGACTAATCTACCATTATAAAATAATCAGCCGTGCTCCTATGTATAAGCAGGGTGAGAATTAGGATCGGAATCAAGATCCTTGAATATCTTAGCCAACAATCCCTCCTCTTTTGTCAATAACACATCCATCTTAAAAGGTCGAGAAAGAGCTTTAAATTCCATTTCTTCATCTGTTTTAGAAAGAACATCTTGTACTTTATTGCTAGAAACTTATAAATGATATTAAAGTCATAAACCAAAAGCTTAGTGATAGATATCAACCAAGGAAAATGTGAGAATTAAGAAGAGAACAATACTAGACTTCCATTAATAACCCTAAAAAAGTAGCAATATAGAAGATTGTGATACAAATCGAGACAAATCACAAGTAATGAAGAACAAACACACGAGAACGGAAGAAAGACAAATAGATCCAAAGCAGTTACAGAGGCTCTAGATTCTCCCAAGTCCTAGTTTTCCAAATGCCTAGTCCCTCACACACTGCCCTTACTTATTCTGCACCCTTCCCGCCAATTTTTAAGTTACTAACTGAATTATGTTCAGCCTCTTCTAGAATATTTCTTGCTAACTCATCAAGGTTAAATGCTCCCCTATATTGCTTCCTATGATAAACTCCTACAGTAGAATTCCTATCAATACTTCCTATCAAGACATTTGTAACATCCCAAGGGTTGGCAAGGACAGGGAGTGGTCGCTGGTACAAAAGATGCATGGACAATAAGCGGCTCATGCCAAATATTGCAGCTGGGGGATACATGAATAAATCGAATCAACACCTGAAAGAGAGGGATTCTAGATACTGTGCAGGTATGAAACTATACAGTTAGAGATAGCTTATAAGAATTACTTGATACTACCTATACTAACAAGACGCATCTACTTTTCGGTAGCTCATAACTTAAGAACTCCATAGTTAAGCGTGCTTAACTTGGAGCAATTCTAGAATGAGTGACCTCTTGGGAAGTTTTTCCAGGAAGTGTGTGAGTGAGGACAAAGCACGCTGAAAAATCTCGTGTTGTTTTATGGGGACAGTCATTGATCTTGCAACCGCCCGGGCGTTACAACATTCACCTTGTCCTCAAGATGAATACAACAAGATTAAACTCCTTCCTAAGGATCCCATGTTTGAATTGTAGGAACCTAAATATGCAACCAACTGGATTGCTCATGCAAGAAGCAGTATAGCACTCACTAGTATCCCATTGCCCATCTTCAATTCCCAACCCTAGCACTATAAAAAGTTTTGCAGGAACTATAATAGCATTATAAAACAAATCAGCCCAGGGTTCTTTCAAATCATTCTGTAAAGGTGTTCCAATCAGAAGGAGGCATCTTTGACCAAATATCTATCAAGATCACGTGTTAATAACTAAATCTCTATCTTTTGTTCTTTGTGCTTCATCAATTATGATATATTTCCAATCAATTATTGAAAGCCTTGACAGGTGATGCATGATGAACTCATAAGTAGTCACTAGAAAATCAAAGTTCATAGTAGAAACCTCTTGAGAAAATAATTTTGACCGATGATCCTTCCATCCAGCATAAAAAATACATGACACAGATGGTAACCAATTATAAAACTCACTCTTCAAATTAACTGACACAGCATTTGGGACTACTATAAAATATGGGCCATAATCTCCCTTAAATTCCTTCAAGTATGAAGTCAATCCCCTAAACTATACAGTTTTGCCAAGACTCACCTCATTTGCCAAAATTCTATTTAATTTGTTGTCAATCAAGGAAAGTATAATAACCCTAATTTGTAAAATGTGAAATTGCATCGGATTAATTAATTAATCGTGCATAATGAAGATTAATTAAACGAGAGGCTTAATAAAGTTAAATAAATGTGGAGTGTTGTTTATGAGGAAAGCACACTTTTAAAATGGTTAAGTGGGTGTAAGTGGGGAATTGGGCTCTTATGTAAAAGGCCCCTGTCAACCATTCCTCACTGGGGAGCTCACTGAAGCGAGTTGTTTAGCGAGTGTTGAAATTTCTCGCTGGTGTAGCTCGCTGAAGCGAGGAGCCCAGCAAGCAGATGCGAATTTTTAAAACATCCCACTTAAATCACTTACTCTCTTCAACCACTCACTCACCTTCCTCACCAAAATGATTCTATTCTCATGAAACTGATTGTAGACTAAAAAAGAAAAAGCTTTTTTGGTAACAACTGGAATTGGAACATTTTTATTTTGATAATTTGACTACCCCCATTACCTGTAATATAATTTTCAAATTAGAACCAAAATAGTGACGTTGGCCAACACCAACTATTAGAATCAATATTGTTTGTAAAGTCCTGAAGCAAACCCATATGAAACAACAGGTTGTAAAATGCTGCTTGATATTATAAATGCAGCATGAGATAACACTAGCTTAAATTGCTCCTTACTTGAAAGTCCTGTACTTGTTTTTGTTGTTCAGCTTGAAGTTTTCCAACTGTACTCAAAAACTCACCAACTGTGGACTCAATTCGCTCATTTAGAGCTTCAGCTACAGCTTTTCCCAAGAAAAATGCATCCAGAATACTTCTGCTGCTGCTGTCACCATCACCTGCAAGATTCAGTTATACTTGCTTACTTTTAAAAAATACATATCAAATACCAAAAAAATAAAATAAAATAAAATAAAATAAAAATTCTAAGGATAGAATATTTTTAAGTGGACTTATTTGGTCCCTTTAAACTACTTGTTTACGGGTATGCAACCATCAATTTGACAAAATAAATCCCTAAGAATAGGTTATCATTAAACTGTGAGAAAACTAAATTAACTTAGTGAAGATTTGTGAAGATTTACCATTAGGAAACAAGTGAAGCAAAATGAATGCAAGCTCAATAATGGATATTGTTATAGTTCCCCATTCCCCACAATTCTAATACCGAACCTAAAACTTAATCAGAACCCCAAAAAAAAAAAGAAAAAAAAAGGAAATTTTTATTAAGAAAAAAAATAACCATGTGAAAATTGCAGAACTAGAAGCAGCAGCAAGTATTAAAATTTTTCAAACAACCATGAACCCAGAATTTGATGTCAGAAAGCCTCTTTATATCATTCAATAACACATTATTAACGTAAGTGGCAGCACAATTGAGAGAAAGAAAAACAACCTTAAAGTACAAAAAAGAAGAAGAAGAAAACAAAAAAGAATCTTGTACCAGAGGCAGGGCCACCGGGCCACATGTTACCATTGCAGCGAACTGCAGTGGTTCGAGAACCCCTTTGGCATGGAAGTCCAATGTGTATGGGCTTGGAAGAACAAGGAAGAGCGAAGTTAGGAAAGGGATAAAAGGAAGCATCGATTTTGGACAACCTAGGAGAAGAAAAGGTTGTAGGAGAAGAAAAGGTTGTAGGAGAAGCTGAAGGCGAAATTATACTGTTCATTTTCTCCTCCAGAACCGAAACACACTCTCCGTCTGTTGTTACTGTCTCCGTATTGTTGTTAACACCACAAGATATATTTGTCCGAAAGATCGCGTTTGGAAAATAAATCTATTCTTCAAATATCGTGGGTCCGTGTACTTCGAAAAATAAAATAAAATAAAAGCAAGAACAGACACTTATATAGTGAGAAAAAACACAAATTAATATTTATTATTTAAAATTTAAATTAAGAATTATAATCATTAATGATGGAGATCAACAGTTAGGATTTAAGATAATATAAAATTATATCCTATAAAATGATAAATATTTATCTCTAAATAAAAGAATTTGGTATTTGTCATTTTAAATGACATAAGTTATGTCATTTTAAGAGAGAGATAGACACAAAAAATGAAAATCATGAGAGAGAGAAAGTGAATGATTTTTTTAATTTAAATTTCAAATAAATAAAATTATTTTGTGTCTATCTCTCTTAAAAAGACATAATTTTATGTCATTTAAAATGACAAATATTTTTTCCAAAAAAAAATTATCCAATTTTCTCTTATGATTTTTATTGTTTGTTTTTTTCTCACTTAAAATGACATAACTCTATATCCTTTGAAAAGACATGCATCAAATCCTAAAATAAAATAAAATAAGAGAATAATATTTATTTAGGGTTAACTTTTTCTAAAGTTTCTTCAAAAAAATTTGTCTAATGTTCACCGAAACAACGTTGTTTTGGAGCAAAAATCATGGTGTGTTTGTAATTTTAATTTATTTCAATATTATAATAGTCTTTATTATTCTAATTTTTTAATCTTTCAACCCCAAAACTACATCATTTTGATGAACATTATACAACTTTTTCTAAAGTAACTTTAGAAATTTTATTCTCATTTATTTATTATTTACAAATAGAGTTTAATATTTTCATATTATAAAAGATAATTTTTTCTCCTACACACATATAAAAATATATAGGTCTCATGTGAAACTAAGTGAGAAGAAGAGAGAAAAAAAATATGAGTCACACAAACTTTTATATGTGTGTGTATGAGATAATTTTATCTCTTATCATGTGAGAAACATTAAATTTTTATACATAACTATTAAGATGTTTGGCTAAAATGTAGTTGAAAATATTTATTTTAAATGAAGGGTAACATTTAATTTAACATTAATTGTTAAATCATTAGATCCAATGTTAGTTTAACTCAATATTATTAAACCTGAATCGGTCATCGACTCGGTTGAGGTATTGGGTCAGTGGATAACTGATTCAACTAGTGGGTCACTGGTTGATCCACATTACTCGGATATATATATATATAAATTTATATTTTATACTCAATTATATAATAAATAATTTAAATGATGTAAGTTAACTAATGACCTAATGTAGCCTAATGGTAAGTACTATAATTTTTATCTCCATGATAAGGGTTTGATCCGGTCGTAAGTGATTATGTTTTCCATGCTCGTTTGAGAAAGAAAACCGTATATATATATATATATATATATATATATATATATATATATATATATATATATATATATATAGGAAAAAGTGTTTGTCCTTTTAAATGACACAACTTATGTCATTTCACTCTCACAAAGAGGTGAAACTGTTACAAGTCCCACATTGGTTGTATAGGAAACTAATGTGGGGTTTAAAAGGCTTTGGGCACTCCCACCCTTTGATCTAGCTTTTGGGGTGGTGATCTAAAGGTCCGTAACAATTGGTGCTTTCATTGAGAGTTGAGGCCACATAAAGGGCTACCTACAGGCTGGATAAGGTGCCTTTGGGCACTGAATACTGATAGGTGAGTGAAGTCGCCCAGGGGGAAAAGGCTACCGTCAGTTCAGTGTCGATAGAGTGAAAGCCGCCGTGGAGGTCGGTCCTTAAAGGGGTGGCAATGTTACAAGTCCCACATTGGTTGTATAGGAAACTAATGTGGGGTTTGAAAGGCTTTGGGCACTCCCACCCTTTGAGCTAGCTTTTGGGGTGGTGATCTCAAGGTCCGTAACAGAGACCCACACCTTTATATTTTTGTCCACTCTCTCTTCCTTTATCTATCTCTTTCTCTCACAAAGAGATGAGACCCAATGAACTAATGATGAATTGCCGTTCAACAGGTAATATATATATGTATATATATATATATGAAGCAGGATCCTTTGACACAAATTTGACACTTCATCTGAGAGCCGTTAGATCAAAAAAGATCAATGACTTTCATTTGTAAGCATGTGACACCATTGATCTTTTTTTATCTAATGACTCTCAGATGAGGTGTCAAAGGATCCTACCTATATATATATATATATATGGAGAGTTGTAAATTAGGCAGGTTAGAATAAATTTTTGTCTAAATAGATTAAATTTATATAAATTATTTTGAGCTTGAGATGATTTATTATTTTAGTTAAGTCTAAACTATAAGACATCCTGAAAGTTAGTAGATCAGGCATTTTAAAAGTAAGTCTAAGCCTGGTTTTTAAATAATTTTTTTAAAAACCAAACTTTTTTTGTTTTATTGAATATAATGTCAACTATGGCTTAACTAGTGTTTAAAAATTTGGCGTGGCCGTTGACTCGATTGAGGTCTGGGATCACGGGTTCAACTGAGAGATTACGGGATCACCTCGCTGACTAGGGGTGTTCATCAACCGATCCAAACCGATTCAAACTGCGGTAACCGAACCGAAAAACCGATAACCGAATAAACCGAAAACCGAAAAACTAAAAACCGATTAAAAACTGCAAATTTTAATTGGATTGGATCGGTTTTTGGATGGGTTTATGAAAACCGATCCAATCCAAACCGATCCAATATATTAATTCTTCTCTACCTACTTGGGTCTTTCCCTAATCATAGCCTAAAAATTTCTAAACCCAAGACCCATTAACCCATTAACTAAACCCAAGAAAAAATCTAGTCACATCTCATTAACAAAATTTTATTTTTGTAGAGATTCATATCTCATTGCCGAAAAAAAACTATATTATAATTTATTAATGTTTTTGTATTTCAAAAAAAATAAATTTACAAAGCCAATATATACAAAAGATGTTATTTGCACAATAATCATGAAATAAATTTTAGGATTTTCAAAAAACCGAAAATCGATCCAATCCAAACCGAAGAAAATTGGATTGGATCGGATTTGAAAAAAAATCAAAACCGAATGGATGATTATATGATCAAACCGAAGTGATTGGATCGGATGATTTGTGCTTCCAAAACCGATCCAATCCAGACCGCGAACACCCCTATCGCTGACCAAGTTTTATATATTAAAAAACCATAAATACATATCATTTATGAAAATTTCAAAAAACTCAAACCACCAATCATCAAAGATTTAAAATATACTTAACATAATTCAATCAATTACATCTTCAAGTCAATATTACACAAGCTAATCAAAATATCAAAGAATAAAACACATATTCCAATAAAAATCTACAAACTCAGGCTTTCCTTGTCAATTTCCAAATTCACTATTCATGCGATATAATTTAAAAGTCTTAGTTTGCATTATTTTTTATCTATTGTCTTCTTGATATGAGAGTAAATACACCATGATCAAAAAAAGCTTTAAACCCCATTCCTCAGCAATACAATAATACCAGACATGCTCAGAGCATAGAAACCAACCAAGAAGAAGAGTGGATTAGTGAAGAAAAGAACTACCACAACAGAGGAGAGGTGGCGGTGCGATGGAGAGGGAAGACCGAAGAGGCGGAGTCACGAAGGAGAGGGGGAGAGGAGGAACCACCGATGTAAAGACGTCTGGGATATAGGTGAGCAGCGAATTTTTTTTTTTAAAAAAAAAAAATTAGTGACCCCTTTGACGGGTATCAGGGAATTTCGGAGGTCAAAAGAGTCAACGTGCATGCAGGGTCTAACTGCTGACCCCAACCCTCATAAAAGGGGTCAAGGTTAACTTGGATCGACCGGGGGTAGAGGTAGGGTTTTAAAACGCTACGCTTAACATAAACGTATGATCCATTTATAATGCTATATATATTATTCTCCGCAAAATGAATTTTTTTTCTAAACATTGAACACAATACCCTTAATAGGTGTTTGGTAGAGAGATAATTTTTTGATTCCTAGAAAATTGATATTAAGAATCCTATTTATTCATATTTGATATAAAAATTTGTTAAATTTTTTTAGAAAAATCAATTTCCCGCATTTAAAATTATAAAGCAAAATCCCACTAAATAATACCACCAGAGTGTATGGTATTCTTGGATTCTCGTGCAAAAAAAATTCATATCTAAAATACTCTTTACGCTGTTGTTCCTCTGCTTCACATCGCCGATAGTATTATCTAGTTTCACATCTCACATCAATAGCTCATTTCTTGTCTTTCAACCACTTGCTACATTTTTCTTGGCAAATCTGAACAAAAAGGATAGTGAAAATACATTTTCCAAGAAAAACCAAACAGATCTCAAGAGAAGACAATTACAGAAAATGAATATCCTTTGCCCTGAAAGTGTTTCAGCCAATCAGAGAGCTTCTTCAGGGTCAGAAATCTGCAACACAGCTCAAGGTTTTTCTTAAGAAGCCCTTTGGGAATGATGGGTCTCTCTCCTCTGAAGAACTCGTGGCGAATGTACTGGGATCTAGATCCTCTAATGTTAAAAATTACATGAGCACGTCATTTGGAAAATCATAACCATACAAAGTAGATCAATGGTAATAAAGGAGGAGAGAGAAAATATATTAAAATAGGTAGTTACAAAATCATAACCGTTGATGTACCTTTGTATGGTTGTGATCTTCTCACATAACTATGTCATGTTTTTTTTTTGACATTAAAGGATCTATTTCCCAATGGATCTCACTTAACGTTCGAGATGAACACTTTCGTAAATTTTTTTTTTTTTTGGTACATCACTTTCGTAAATTTTGTCTTTGGCTGAATGTTAATTTTATTTTCAGATCGATTATGGAACAATTTTATTTTAATTTTAAATTGCAGAAAAATTAGTAAACTTAAACCAATATTTTTTAGAATATTTCAGCTTAACAAATAGTTTTTTGGTAATATTTATGAAAAATTCACTTCCTTGCTTATTCTTAAGAATCATGATTTTCAAGAATAAAAAAAAAAAAACTTCTACTAAACACCCCAAGTTTAATATTTGGCATTTGTATACAAATTTTTTTTTCATTTTCAAGAATAATAATTGAAGGCGTTTCAGGTGAAAGCCTGGTAGGTAACAATAACTTATATTGATCAGTCAATTTTATATGGATATTCAAGATTTTTTTTTTTTTTGATAGCCTATGGATATTCAAGATTAAATTTAACTATAACCAATCTTATTATTTATGCATCGTTGAAAGATCAGTTCTCACCTCTTATGCTCTTATCTCTATGTGCTTCCTGTATACGTGTGTGGGGAGTTGCTAAACTCCATACCTTCATGTGAAAGAGATAGCAACTTATATATTTTGTTTTGAACAAAAAGACCAAAAAATTTATCAAATAATTTAGTCTCAAGGTATTTTAGTGAAATAAAATTGTAAAATTTAAAGAAGAAATTGAAAGATGTTATGAAACAATAAATAATTAGAAGAAAATAGAGATGAAAGAAGTGTAATGAAATAATAGAAAAACCGGAGATTACATTCCATTGTATTCTGATTGTCCTAATCTTTGAGCTTTGTATGCTTCTATTTATCAACCCTGTATACATTATAAGTTACAACATAATAAATGATAAGAATGGATTTCTAGGAGTTACAATAGAGAATAATATCTTTAGGGTTATGGACATTCCTACAATAATATTATTTATAGCAGTTTTCTTGGATGTTCATTAAGATAATGTAGATCATTAAAACCTTACTAGGAAAAAATCACACTGAAGAAAAAAGAGTATATACATTTATAATAATATGTATAGCAAGTTGCCTCATTAAAAACCTTACTAGAAAAACCAAATGATACAAAACCTTGGTGAAGGAAAAAAAAGTGCACCACATATTTTACTCTCCCTAATTATAACATCATTTAATATATCTAAGTCTACAAATTTCAGTCTCATATATTAGCTTCTCAAAACTTGAATTAAGTAATGTCTACCAAATTATCTCTTGAACAAATTTGTTGAACGCTATTAAATAGTTATTTTTTCACTTGTGATCGAAATCTTGTTTGGGATTTGCCTTTGTGTGATTTTGGTAAATATCCTGCATTATTCTTAAATCTTCGTATCGGAAAAATATTAAATCGTGCTAACAGACCTACAAATAAGAAAGATAAAATGTAAGAATAAGGGGGAGAAGATATAAGCTTCAAAAGTCAAACATCTACTTTCGCTAAGGATTTAACCTATGTAAAGATAACTCAAAGATATATATTTGTTGGGTGCTAGGTGCTTTGTAGGACGTTCCCTTACTTAGTCTATCAAGAGAAACTCATTTGTTCTCAAGATATTGACTCAGTCGTGCAACTGCACGCATCAAGTAATAAGTGGAATTATAAGAGCCCAGATTATCGTTCCCACGAAGATAGTAACTCTAAATAATACTTTGAACTAAACTTTAAAGAATTTTGAAAGAATACAAGAAAAGTTTTGAACTCTCTGGTCTTTAGTTCCCTAGTATCTTAGGGATGTTCCCATAAAGACAAGAGGTGTAGATTGACTCTAAACAACTCCTCGCGACGTTATATATTCAAATCCTTCCTGATTTCAGGAGGAACAACAAATCATTGGAAGTTTGGTGTTGTGGTACTGAAATGATAAATACAGAATTTAAAGTTTAACAATAGTTTAGAGAGATAACAATTTTAACAAAAGGAACGGATTCACTGTTCCATTCTTAACTAGTTGTGTTCTCAACTCAAAACTTAACCCTTCTGAATTTGTTCAGGTCTTTTCACTGCCAACTCTGATTCCTTAGCTCATGGACTAAATGGCTCACAAGTTTTCATATTCCTATGACTCTCTTAACTCCAACAGTTACTACGTTGTACTTTACGGAACAAGGGAGTTCCTTATTCCTAAGGCAACTAGTAAGATTGTTTCCACAATCTTACCTTCCTCATATGATTAAGTTGTTTGAAATTCCTTCCTTAAGGAAGTTCTTTTCTCACTTGCGTTCAATTCCATTGATACCCAAATATTTAAAAACACTTTAATCATAGAAATACAAAAGGTTCAGTGCAAAAGTTTCAAACACAGTTCATTAAGAATTTCACAGCTTTTCCATTTTAAAATAATTTAGCCCATGGCTGAAAATACAAACATAATTATCTCAATTCGAAATCCCATAGACCCGAGATTCAGGTTGAAGACAACGATTGGATGATAAAAGAAATAACAGACTTATATTAATAAACACAAGTTGAGTACAACAATAAGAACAAAAGTGGAGAAAAATGGATATTTGCTCATGAGGAGTCTCAAATGGTGATGAATAATGGAGAGAAGAGTGTTGTCACTTAGCTACTGTTAAAGACTATACAAATTACAAAACAAAAACTTAAACTATGAAATCTATGGTCTCCTTCTTAAGGAACGAGATCTTTTCTTCGTCTTGGGCTCTCATATTTATAGGCTGAGGAAGGTAATGGCAAACTTGTGATTTCCACAGCTGTTCCTTGCTTGTTATGGAGAGTCGGTGAACTGCTGTTTTGACAAAAGAAGAGAGTTGTTCGAAGTGATAGCTTGGGGTTGGATTTTGCCTTTTTGCTCTGAAATTCAAGATGTCTTTTCTTTCCTTTTTATAAATGAACATTCTTCATGCTCTGCTATACATGCTCCTTGTTGCTTGATTACTGTGCACTCTCTGCTTTTGGAAGCTTCTTTTCAGGCTTTTTCCTGCAAAGTAGTGGGTCAGGATAAGGGTTTGGAGAGCAGGTACAGAAATAAGTCAATACGTTCCTTTTTTACTTTCTTTTATCTGCTGTTATGCTGGCATCCATTCCTTTTTCAGTGTTTTCGTTCTTATTGTTTGGAAAAGTCTTTTAGTAGCAAAAATGGATGCCAAACTGCGGAACGGGTGAGCTTTTGCCAAAAAAAAACAAGCTCAGATGGGAACGAATTTTCGTCCCATCAATATCCCTAAAAAATATTAGGACCTATGGTAAGTGAATAATTCCTAGTTCTATTTTAAATTTCTACTCTATTTTCGGAAGTCAGGTTTGAATCAGTCGTTTTATGAGTTGCATAACTTCGACTATACTTAACCAAATGGTTAATGTTATACCTTGTTGGAAAGCTCAAAATGTATAATTTAACATAGTAAAATATTGGAATTGTTGGTGGAGTTGTGGAATTCTAGTTTTGGAAAATGTACTGGTTGTTCAGAGCTTAGTACATTGATAGAGTTTGTTTCTTTCGATTGTTCTTCAGTAGAAGGACTTGTAGACTCTACAGCTCCATTAGTTGAGTCTTATATCATGACAAGGAAAGGAAAAAGTTTATTGACAACTTTACATTATTTAATTAAAATGTGGTTGCGCTTAATAAAATAATTAAGTTAATACACCAGGTGCACACAGAGTGTTACAAGTGAAAGAAGAAAACATGATAGTGAATCGAGCTTTTGGTTGTGGTGACTGAAATCCGAAGCTAGTGGAAGAAGAAAAAGGCGTAGTGAATTGAGATTTTTTGGTTGTGGTGACTGAAATCCCAAACTGATAAAAGAAGAAGATGGTGTAGTCAATTTGAGATTTTGGTTGTGATGCCTAAAATCTGAAACCAAGGGAAGGAGAAGAATATATCAGTGTCGACATGGAGAAAAGGGAACGCTTAGAACGAGTTCTGAATGGTTGACCACTAGACATTGTGTTGTGTTAGGAGCAGGAATCCTACACCTTTGAAGAAGAAGAGAAACAAAAGAATGAAAGAACCTGTTATGGAATATTATCCATATCTTAACTACTCACCTAAAAATCTATCAAAGGATAAATCCTCTACTATCCTAACAATATTAAACAACAAAGATACTCAGGATAGAAGCCTTATCTCAACAGAAATGAAGCTGAATCCTACTATAACTGGGAGTTCTACACAAATCTTAGAGGTGACCCTTATAAATAAGAGGCTAAAAATCTCAGGTATACACTTGTAACCTATTTACTATTGCTGCCAACTCTGTGCACACACTCACGTCTTGGCTATAAGCTTATTGCTTGTGCGCAGTGATTGGGACATTGTCTATAAGCCAAATACATACCAAATTCTACGGTATCTCTGAGCGCATACCATACGGTATAGCAATACCGTCTTTCTAAGACCTAACAGAACCAATGATAGTGCACTGCTCTATGAAAGGTGAAGAAACTGAGGACAAAAAAGCTAATTCTATTATCTTCATGACAATCTGATTATATACAATGATTATATACAAGACTTACATACACTTCCAACTACTCAACTAAGATAATATACCTTACTAACAGAACTCCAACAAACTCCTATTTATGTGGAACTAACAAAACTACTCTATAAAACCTTATTACACATTACTACACATTACACACTAACGAGGGACATCTTTAGTCATCATGCAAGTTTGAAATTTTTCTATGTT